TGTCAGTTTTGCCAGAAGCGTTTCAAGCATCGACATCATTTAACAGTTCATATTTTGTTGGTTCATAATAATAATCAAAATTCATAATCGTAAATTCAAAGGTATCTATATCTATTTATTTTGAAATGTTAAGAAGTATTTTTTAGTTGTAAACACTAAAATATTACTGGTAGATATATTAATATTTGTATTTTCGTTAAAGAAAACTTAAAATCTGTGTTTCTGTACTTACTTAACAATAAATTAATATATGACAAATGGTAGCATTTTACGTGGCTGTTTTATTTTATGTACTTTCATGCTGTAGTAAGGCTTATGACAGACTGTTCGCTCAGTGTGAAACAACCTTAAAAACACAATCAAAATGCTATGTGATGAAACGAGTGTATAATTGTGAAATAAACAGTTAAAAAATTTCCAGATCTTTACTTAATACGATTATATATACAATTAAATTTCAGTATTATTTGTTTCACAAAAGGTATTTGGTAAGTGCTTATTTGTTTTGTTTCAGGTATGTACTGTCATCAGCAAGTCAATGTCTTTGAACCGAAAGTTTCAGGAGTAGAAAGGAGAAATTTCAAATGTGCTTACTGCAGTTATTATGTTTCTAAACAAAAACATAATCTAAAGCTGCATGTCTTACGTGTACACGTGGAAAAAATGAGAGAATTTGAACGGATTTATAAAGATCTTCAACCATCTTGATAACTGACGCCAACTCAAATGTGTATGTTAACTGATTCTACCAAGATCTTATTATTTATCTCGATTTTTTTAACGTACAAATGAGTTTAATAACGGCAGTTCGTTAGGTGTATTTTTGCAGTAAATATAAGTAAATAAAAACAATACAAAAATTAAAGAAAGACATATATATAATAAAATATATTTTTTGTTCATTTCGCTTAGTCTAGGTCAGGGATGCGAACCAATGGCACAATATTTTGGGCACGTCACTAATATCAATCATAAAGTCTAGTTCAATATGGATCCAAAACTTTATTGAAACAAGGGAACTAATTGAAACAGAAATATTGGCAGGTAATACAAGTGAAAATGCCAATAACAATATTTTGGATACATGAAATGCGTTACCAAACACTTTTAATTGTTTGAAGAAACTGGTTTATGCTATTTTAACAATGTTTTTTCCTCAACCTATGCCTGCCAGTCATTATTTTCAGAGAGAAATAACATTAAAAACTCGATTAGAAATCGTTTGACAAATTACACGTATAATTTAAACATTGCAAAATGTTCCTATTTTTTTGTAGTAAATAAAAATGTTTAAGTTGATATTATTATTGTTTTTCCAATAATCACAAAGACAAAATTATTTGATGGCACATCTTTGACCTGATTAAACTTTTTTTATAAAAATGGCACGTCGATACGTAAAGGTTCGCCATCCCTGGTCTAGGTGCATCTCTGCTTTCATCTGCCTCCTGAACTTAATTTAAAATATTTGTTATTACTATGTGTTATAAGCTTTCCTAGTTTAGGAAATCAGAGAAAGTAATAAATTGTGTAGATATTACATTCTCCTTAGGTATAATATTTGATCAACTTTCTTATATGTATATCTATATGCTTTATTT